ATGTGCATACCCAGAATATGCCCATCAAGGATTATATAGCTCAAATTTCCTTTAATGGTAGGCAATTATTCAATGCAAATTAACTTTTTAAGTAACTGAAATATTAAATAGTTTACAATTTGGTATATCATTAAAAATATATTACTTTTAGGTACAATTAGGGCCCGATACATTACAAAAAGTAGAATACCTATTATTTTATATTAAATGAGGTATTGTACCAACAATCAATTTATATTAATACCGGAGATTAAAAAACAACAGAATAAATAGTTCTTTTTTTTATACTACAAAAATAAACTATAGAATACAACAGTATTTAAAAAATAAATAAAAAGTTATGTCCCGGCCGAGATTCGAACTCCGGTCTCTCGCTTCCTAGCCCGACTCCTTACGCACTGCTCCACAGTAACTTGCTTAGCGATAGTTTAATGACGGTATATAAACAAAAAAACAGGTTTATAACAATATCTTGACGATTTGATCTGGCGCGCGGAGAGTGCTGACCAAAAGCGCCAGTTATCACCTGTGATATAGCGACCAACCTGCGCAATATCATACCTTGTATTCTTTGTACCATGGTTTCACCCTCTTGGAACTGGAATTTCGAAAAATCCCTTCTTATCGAACCTCTACACTCTAGAATCAATCTGTATACCAAAATTGAGCTTCTTACGTTGAGTGGTTTGAGCAGGATCGTGATTAATCAGTATGTCAGTCACTTAAGGATTTTATATATTAGTATAGATATTAGGCTTTCTCTATGGATACAATGACTACCGCAAGCTGTTGCTAGGATATTCTTGTTAATTTTGATTGTGTTTTGGATCGTAACGATTCTGTAAATGACCGTAAACTGAAAGGTATAAAATGTAATTAAAACCACTAATAATTTATTCCACCATTTGCCAGGTTCTGAATGAAGCTTAATAAGATGAACTTAACATACAAACATCGTAGACAAAATCCGGCAACAAAAGAAAGGCAATCCATTCTCCGGTCCTAACTAGCCGTATCCCATATCTGCCCACCCATAAACTCTGCCTACGGCGGGCGCTGAGACAGCGTCCTCGGTCGTTCCGACGTCGCCAGCCGCCGCGGCGCCCTGCCTCGGCGTCGCCGGCGTCGATTTGCGTGCCGCGCTCCAATGTCACTCATTTTCCTCGTTTCTCATTTACAGCAACCAGGCTATATGCTGCAGACCGATTGCAGCCAGTTGCAATGCGGACTTACGTGCACGGATATATTTAGAAATAAATAATGCTCGTGTAAAAGTTTCTTAATTCGGTAGAGAATAATTTATTTACTATTTTAAGTTCGGATTATACTAAGTTTCGCTAATATACAGGGTGCTAAAAAGGTACGAGCGTTGGTATAACGGAAACCGCAATAGATATGAATATGAACATCAGGCGGATGAAACTGCCATTTGAATTTTGGAAACACGGCGGAGTTTCTGCCAGTAGAGGGATAGATGGCGCTGCGTTGAAATTTCATCTAAAGTCCCTAGATATTCATCTAGGGACTTTAATTTCATCATGATTTTATCAAGTCATCCACAGAGTATAGTTTAATTAACAATTCGTTTGATTCTCTGTGGAGTAATTGGAGTAGTTGGAGCAGTTGAAAAATATAAATATTTATATAAAATGTTGATAATTTAACAGCGATGTGCTTTGTTACCCTACGAATAAACATTGATATGAAGTTGCTTTTGCCAGAAACAATTATAATTAAATAATTTAATAAAAAATTAATTTCTAAATGACCCGGATCAGTTAGATCAGTAAAATAAATTGAAAAATAAACGTCATTCCATATTTGGCAATGTCTGTCAGTTTCTGTGAAGTGGAAGTGAATTGTGATTTGTTTTTACGGGAATATTTTACGGATTTTTGCGAATTTAGAGTATTTTGGACGATAGGATTGTGAAATTTAAAAGCCAAGTAGTTTAATATATAAGATTAATTAATCCCTGTGATAATTTTTATGAAATTTCTCATAATCAAAACAAATTCTTTCAACAAAATGGCTGTCTCAGAAATCTGGAAGATCACTAATTTTAAAGTTTTATTTAAGTGTATTTATATCGAATCAAGAATTTGTATAACATATTAAAAGCTTAATTTTAAAGGTTGTGCAGTAATTTATGTAAGTGTACGCTTTTAGATAAATATTAAATATACAAATTTGCAAAGACAAACAAGTAATTTTAAAAAGATCATTTATTTATTTAAACGAGTATAATCATTAATCATTAGGTTGAAAATATATTTGTATTTACTTATTTATATATTTTCTATACCCTTGTATTATTTATAAGCCCTATATGTCCTGTTTTATTTGAAAAAAAAATGCTTCGAGTCATCGAGAATAGATTTAATAACAATTTTGTCCCTTGGCTTTGTGTATTATATAATGTGAATTGTAAGATGTTTCTATTTGAATAGGTCATTAAAGTTGAGATTAAAGTTATACCAAATTATATTCACGGTAACTATATGTCTTTTATATAATAAATTATTTATTTATAATTTATAACCTTTTTTATAATTACTTATAACTGATTGTATAAATTCTGATAACTTTTATATATACTTGTATAGTGTTGAATGTGTTAAGCCGGAGTCTCATGCATCCGAAATCCGATGGTACGACATCCGAAATTTGAAGTTATCGTGTGAAATAAAAAAAGCCTGTCACATACATCCGAAAGTTCGTTCCGAAATTTGACAGTTTTAACATTTTTCTGCTGCGCTGAATAGAGATTCATGTCATGTTTTATTGGAGAAACACTTATAAAAATAACTTCCTCGCCAAATATCCCGAAATTGCCCACTTCCCACTAAACTTGTTTTTAAAAACAAATGTTTTCAAAAAAGTGAGGTTAAAAAACACACGATATCGTACAAAAGTTAAACAAAATTTAACTTTATACGACGTCGGATGATTAGTTAAAATTATCGGATAAAAATTGTTGTCAAAATATTTCGACCAATAGGAGCACCGTCGGATCGTCGTATCATCGGATTTCGGATGCATGAGACTCCGGCTTTATATGTAATTTTATTAACAATGTTATAATAAAATAATCAAGTTACAAATTTTTCGTGTTTTATTCTAATTTCAGGGATAATTTCAACCTAGATTATTAATTTATTTGTATCAAAATACATTATTTTTATTTTGTAAAATGTTTTGTTACAAATAAGTTCATAATCTAGATTGAAATTACCAAATATAAGTAAAAAACTTATGAACTGGCAGTAAAGGTCCATTTAAAAATATGGCGCGAACTTTTAGTTCTGCCAGTAGCCCAATTGGATCGCGTCGAGCGCGTGTTTCCAGGCTTTAACATAGGAGTTTTCATTTCTTTCAGTTAGTTATTATGATGAACATGGTTAAGGTAGAATAGCGGAAGAGTACGAACTTAATATTTATTGTTGGATGACATTGAAACAAGCCATTTTAAGGTTGAAGTTTATAAGAAATTATAAAATATGCATTAATTTAAACATACAGGGTGGCGCCTGTCATACGCCGTGGAGGCTCCAAGGGGAACGATAGTTTGTATTGAAATGAAATTTTGTGGACATATATGTAGTATGTAGGTTAATTCAGAGCACTTTTTAAAAATATAGAGAGTTCTACAGGGTGTCCCCAAAAAAAGTTACATATCAAAGTTGTGTTTTTTGTAATGGAACACTCTATACATTAATTAATTTTCGGATTCTGGGAGAAAAATAAAGGTTTACTCTACAATGTTTAATTTTTGTTAAATTAACAAAAGGTATATCACAGCCACCTAGATTTTTTCAAATAATAAAGATCTACTGACGCAAAATCATAAAAATTAAAATATCGGAGAAAATCTTTGTCTGAGGTGTAAACAACCTTAATAATATTTTGAAGATATAGAAATCACCCATTGAACACCGGAATAATATACCGGGTGTTCCATTTAAAATAAAGGAGTAGTTGCTTTTAAAAGTGACTAATGTTCCATATTCATTTCTCACCCTGTATAACTTTTCTGGTCAAATTTCAATTTGGTTTAACATACAATGGTTATTGTAATTAAATATCAGGCTATACAAGGTCAACTAAAATTTAGGTAGCTGTTATCGAATTTTAAAATTTACTCTTTATTTTTACAAAATGAGAAATATGTCAAAATCCGGAGATTTTAGATATATGATATGATATAAATCAATTAATATATAGGGTGTTCCATTAGAAAAAACACAACTTTGATGTGTAACTTTTTTTGGGGACACCCTGTAGAACTCTCTATATTTTTAAAAAGTGCTCTGAATTAACCTAGATATGCTGCCAAAATTAAATTTCGGAATAATCTACCGTTCTCCTTGGAGATTCCGCGGCGTATGAGTGGCGCCACCCTGTGTGTATCTCAAATATTAGCAGCTAATTTGAAAATTTAAAAATACAACCAGGTAGTCTTAATAAAGCGGCTATGAGAATGTGCAATTAGGTTTTGGATTTTCTAAAAAGTAAAGAGGGAAAAATAAAATTGATTATCGAAAAAATCTTTTTTTTTTCGAAATAACTCAACAATCGTTGAAACTTTTTTGATTGAACACTCCAAGGGCCAAATTTGCCCCAATTTAATCATGTTCGTGTCTATTACGGTTTCCGAGATACCAATGCTCGTACTCCGAATTTGTAGCATCCTGTATAATTCATAATAAGTATTTAGTTAAAATAGTTAAAAATACCATACGATCGAAAAAAATGGCGTCAAAGACTGCCGGGGAATGACAATCGATGGTAATATGTCGAGGTCAAGCCTTTGACGCCATCCCGTACCTACTCTTTTTTATTTTTTATAGATCTTACTGCCTCAAAAAGGTTGTCATTTATTTTTATACTGAGTAAAAATGATTTTTAGATGGTAGTATCGGACATAGTATGCTGATATAGAACAAAAAACAAGGTTATTTTATTTGTAAAAACACAGACATTTCATTTTTGTGGTTAGAAGTTTATTTCGAAAGCAGTTTTTGAACTTGAAAATTCTAAATATTTCGAAAATTTCGAAGAAATTTATATCAAATTAACAGTATCTTCTTCGCTCTTCGTTGTTTCCTCCTCCTTCAATTCTTTGTAAGTTTTAAACAAGTGTCTCCTTTGACAGGTCACTATCAAACCCCCACAGTAACAAAACGACGACAGAAACAATATATAACCTAAATAAATAAGATATCTCACGAGTTCTTTCGTCAAAAGCTTCGTTTTCGAAAACACAAACACGATAATTTGTTGCATCCGAATATCATCCACGTAACAACTGTAATTCCCTTTATCAAAGGGCGTTACGTCAACAAGATACAAACTGTTAAAAGTATCCACCATGACGTGTGGATTCGAGTTGTCCCCTCGTTTCAGCGTCATCCCGTTCCTCTTCCAGACCACGCTGTTATCCAGGCTGGATTCCGGACACACGAAAGTTAGGTGGGAGTGCTCGGCCAGAACTAAGCGCTTGCGATATTTGAAGCCGGTGCCTTTTCCCACTTTCCAACCTGCGAAATTTATATTATTAAAGTTTTGATTAGGTTAGGGAGGACGCAGGTTAAAATTACCGCGTTATAGTCCTAGATCATATATACTTACGTGGATAAGTATATCACTTTGGAAACTGTCGCAAACATATCAACGAATTCCATTTATCTTCGTTTTTTGTTGCACACGCGGTGCTTCTACTCTATCTATCCTTGTAGAGGACCTAGCGTCCACGCGCCAAATTTGAACATTAATTTTAAAATTTCAATTTGTAAAATGCATATATTTGAACAATAAATTGTATGTTTACTGTCACAAAAGTTAAATTATATAAAAAATACGTTTAGCAACTCCGTACGAATATTAATATTCTTAGGAAATCTAACCAGAAAATATGTATGTGGTTTAATATAAAATTTATATTAGCTTTGTTCGGGTTCTTGTTATTACCGATTCTGAACCGTCCTGAAAATAAAATAATGTGTTCATATTTCCTTCTGCGCATACGCATCACAGTTCTAGGACGGTTCAGAATCGGTAATAAGAGAAACCCAAAGTAAGCTATTAAACCACATGCATATAAAGTATTCAGTTGTTTTTCTATTTAATATAAAAACAACTGAATACTTTACTTGCCTATGAAAATATAATTCAGGGACCTTTATATTAGAACTTCCACACACTTTCTAGTCATTTTTACGAGTATTTAGAAAGTCCAACGAAAAATGATAGAAATATAATTGATGTAAATGATAAAAAATACAATTTTTAAAATAAAAAACGCAAAAAAGCCTCGTTACACAATGGAAAAAAGATTATGACCATATGACATTTCATTATGACAAGATTATGACAATATTATGATGACAATGAAAAGTTGGTTTCCATAATAATGTGGGTATAATTTGTACTTTCTAGACCCTATAGAAATTTACCCTAGAAATTTAAAATCTAGACCCTATTTGAAAATGGAATGTCGTGATGTTGGATACATATTTTTTAATGCTAAACTTATGGCGTTGATTTATGCACGTAAGTAGGTATATATGATCTAGGGTATACTATATATGATCTAGGTGATCTACTCGTATGGAGTTAGTGGTTATGTTAAGCACGCGGAACTCCTATGTACCCATAGACAAACAAATAAAAAGAGACTGACAAATCTCATGGTAAAGAGTGGGACCGCGTTCCCTTAGCGCAACTCAGAATAACAATTTTGAAACCAATTAGCAGGATCATGGCAGGACATACGTCTTTATTGCTATCTTTCTTTATTAGGTGTGCTTCATATGAAAAAGAAAGAGATATGTATAAAACGTATTGTAAGATATTATCGCACATTCTGGCTGGCGGAAAATTTAAATTAGACATTATTAGTAGTATTCTTTCATTCTGAAACAGAAAATTTTCACTTAAACTGATTTATTCCCTATACCACGTAAAGGGAACGTGGTGTAGGGAATAAATCAATGTAAGTGAAAATTTGCTGTTTCTTTCAGAACGAAAGAATACTACTATTATAAGGGAAATTATAAAAAAAGCAAAAATTTTATTGTTTTATAAACATATTTATTTATACATAAAAATAAATAAACTTTTTATAATATAATAACAAAAAATAACAGTGTTTATTCCACCCACCTACCAATTTTAAATGCAGAAGAACTGACTGTTGCAGGAAACGATCGGCCAATTTTTTTAAAAGGCATTAAAAATCTCATTTTCGATAAAACTGCCTTATTGCAATAACAAAGTGAATATCCAAGCAAGAAGACTTTACGAGAATCATGATCCTCGACCATTTTCAAGTCCAGTTTTAATCCTAAAACAAAAGTAAAATAGGTATATTAATAAAGTTTCTGGTTACTATAAACCAGCTATAAACTACCTACCCAAAAAATGAAAAAAACTAATTGTATTAATTTGTTATGTTAAGAGAGCTTGAAATATTTTTGACATTACTACTTCTACTTTTTTCTTAATAAGATGATAAATATAACTACTTACTTTTATTTTACCGGGTGTCTTTAACATATCTATCAGAGAAAGGGGGCACCAATACATATAAAAAATAGATGATACTGGCTCCTGCAGCAAATAAAATAACAAATAGTATAACCTAAAATTATAAGTAACAAAATATAAATACCTATATGGAACAAAGGAATTTGTTCCCTATCCATATTCATAAGTCAATAAAATGGAGAGTTTAGAAAAAAAAGTAAATCACCAAAAGAAAAATTAACAAACATGACGAATTGTCATGATGTTGTCATCTTGGTTGTCATGATGACGAAAACGATTATTCTAATTTCTATTTAGAAATTACGTTTGATATGGCTGCTTCTTTCTCTCTTGTTATATTAGAATGAGATAGTGGGCCCAATAGACGCAATGCGCAGATCAACATAAATAGAACGAAATTTTGCGTTCTGAGTTGCGCTACGGGAACGTTGTCCCTCTCTTTGCCATTTAATTTGCCAGTCTCTTTATATTTGTTTGTCTATGCCTATACCTAGAAGGGTGTACCAAAAAAAAATAATGATGAAAAAAAATCTGTTAAACCTTAAGCTCTTAATAATAATATACAGAGCTGTATTATCGTGATTTTCCATCCCAAATCAGAGTATTGTAAAAATCAATACAAATTTTTGAAGGAAATTCTTCAAAAAAGGTCCGACATGATTTTTTCTTTAATCGGCTCATTTGAAAGTTATTGAAGGTTAAAATTCTCCTTCAAATCGTATATGATAACTTCTACAATTTTTGTATATTTTATTACCAAAGAAAAAAAAATCATCTCAAAACATAAAGTATCCTATTTTTCGTAATGTTGATCAAGTGTACAACTTTTTGAATTTTTTTTACCATAATTTCTTTTTCATCATCGTAAACGATATTTTCACGGTAACTAAAAAGGGTGCCCGGTGGCGTAGAGGTACAGGCTCTCGTCTACCAATCTCAAGGTAGTGGGTTCGAATCCCACACCCGGCATTTCATCAGCCGACTATGTTTATAAAAATAAAAATAGTTTGGGTACATAGGTCGATTCAGCATTAAATGAGTACTTGAGATTCACAATCCTGAGGTAATAATAGGCGGTTGAAGCGTAGTGCTAGCCACATTACCTTCCTTGTATACCGAACGGCTCTAGCATGGCAAGCTGTACCTTGCTACTCCCAAGGCGTTAAACGCTATATACGGGAGCTATTATTATTATTACTAAAAAAACAATTTTTTTTGATGCACCCCTAAAAGTGAAATACCTAAAGGTTGCTACCATTAACAGTTATCTAATGGGATACATACTGTATCTCAGAAAAAATGGTCCTTAGGGTGTTTAAAAACATTAAAAATGGCTTATTTCTTACTCATATTTAAGGCTTTCAAAAAATCCATCCCATATAAACATTACAATAAAATTATAAAAATTTCAGAACTTATAGGAAATTTTAAAAGAATTTATAGGAAGCATTTAAAATATTATACCGGATGCGTCTCAAAAGTGGCTCATCCCTATAACTTTTTTTTATTTTTTCAGACAAAAAAAAAGAGATTTGGTATTACGAGTATTTCAGACAAAATAACGAGATTGGTTTATATGACATAAATTAGGATTGATTTAGGTATTCAATTGTTTTTGGTTACTTCCTGTTTCACAGGAAATAACTACAATTTTTGATTTTTAAATGGCATCCTCGTTATATTTCTGCTTTATGGGAAGAAAATAACACTATGAAAAGAATGACATATCATATGTCAACTTTTTACAGTTTCGTATATGGTTTATTTGAAATTGTAACATGCGATTCATAACGACAATTTGACTCAAACTACCGAGTGTGTGGTACCAAATTATTCGTAAAAAAATTTAATCGTATTTTCAGACTTCAAAAGAGAGCAGTTCGATATTTATTGGGACTGAACAGTAGAACTCACTGCCAGAATTTCTTTAAAAATTTCAAAATACTGACTCTTCCTCTTTATTCATTTTTGAATCCGTTTGCTTAATCGGCAAGCACATATCTGCTATTCCCGAAATGCCATCTCATAACTATCCACTTAGGAATGCGGAGCACGATCTTTATCTGCCAACCTCGAGCTCAGAACTAGTTAAAAGTTCTAAATACTGTACAATGCCAAAAAAATATACAATCATCTGCCTTTGAATATCAAGTCACTTTCATTCTTCATTTCGCAAAGCTCTGAAATCATACTTACTGGAGAGAACCCTATATGCGGTAAACGATTTTTTTGTTGATGTTTAATCATGAACAATGTTGAATTTTAAAATTTTGATCATCTCACACACTGGTCAAAGGTCAAGTATTTAATATTTTATAACTCTTAAAATTATATCTATTTTCAATCTTATAAAGCCATATAAAAATGCCCAAAAGTTGTAGTCATTTCCGGTGAAACAGGAAGTGACAAAAAACAATTGAATAAGTCAATCAGTGCAAATTTATGTCATATACTAACATACCAAATCTCGTTTTTTCATCTGAAAAAAAATAAAAAAGTTATAGGGGTTAGCCACTTTTGAGACGCACCCTGTATACTTATTGCTATTATAAAATTGACCATTTTTGGTAATTTTTTATTCATTTTCAAAAGGCAACATTCAGACAATAGCAAACATAGTGTTTTACATATACGTTAAGCAGAAATGCAAGTTGGAAATACCTTTATTCACACCTTCAGCATCTGGGTTACATATTCCGTCACATCTATCGTCCTGTACAAAATCAGGAATAACACTCGTTAAGTTACTGATTTGAGGAAACATTCTTTGTAATTTTGTCGACCTACACGACACTGCTGGCGCTTTGAACAGGTACAATTCACCAGCTGACAAATTCCCGGGTAATACTGACATAACACCTAATTTTATCCTAAAACTTCGTAATTATAATAGAAGACCAAAACATTTTTAAAAAAGTTATATACCTGCACATACCTTTTCTTTTCATAATGCCATTTCCTTGAGGTCTACCACAAACTTGGCACTTGCTCCACGGCGCCCATTGAGTGATTAATTCCATAGATATATGTAGCTGGTCTCTGATATAGACAAATTCTGTTCCAGAAGATTCTTTGAATAAATTGTTTATCGAAAAAAAGTAATTTTCTTGATATTTAGCCCAAGCTGTAATATTACCTAAAAAAAAATTATTTAAAAAAAGTTACACAAAAAGGACACATTTTTTAATTAATATACCAGTTTCTACAGCCACAGCTTTTTCCTTAACCACAATATCAACTAGATAATTAAATTTTTCGTTATTTGTTTGATCCTCGTAGTGTACACAGTAGTAAAATCCTGCGTCTTGAGCGGAAATATTTTTTATTATCAAACTGTGTTTATGGTTGACTGAAATTCTGTTTTGATTTATATCATTTCCCATATCTATCTACCAAAATTAGAATATATTGAAAAAATTGTGTGAGCAATCTAATTTTTAATTTTCTAATATTTGAAGTGTGTGTGTGAAACTTCTTACTAATAACTATTAAATTAAAGGATTATTTCAACATTACATTATTATGAGGATTTTATCATTGTTGGAATTTTCCGTAAAGCGCTCGCCCATTCTGACTTCCTCAAAAATATTGATTTTTAAAAATATTCAAATTTGTTTTTAATATAATGTTTATACCAAAGCCCTGACTATAATGAACAAAACATCGTTAAAAGATCTATTCAAATTATAAACAATAAACAAACTATTTTAACCTGCACGGAATAAGTAAAAAAAAAACAACAGCAGCCTTATCAAAAGCGACAATATTTATCACTTTGCCTGAATAAATACCGATTAATATTTTTTTTTGACAAAAACTTTCCTGTATTGCTATGTGTTATGCAATTAGAAAAACTTATTCAAAATTTAAACGGTGTGACTGATATTTTAAACCACCATTCTGGGAGTACCAATGTATTTACCAGTAATAAACAGATCATTAAAACTTATTCAGACAATTTCAGACTATAAAAACTTAATTAAACTTAAAAATCGGTATGAAATAATGCAGAAAATACTTGTTTTAATAATAATAATTGTAATATTTCCCTCCGTAACATTATACAGGCTATCTGTTTGTGCTCTAAAACTGCTAAATGTTCCAACTGCTTAATATAAATGTTGCAATGCTCAATCTAAAATGGCAATGACTCATTTTCTTTAAAAATTTACTTTATTATTGATTACTAATTAACTGACCTATTAACTTTTCGTACTCTTCCAAAGCCACAAACAGGCAACCAATACTTTCGATTTGTAAACCTAATTAGAAACTGTGTACTTATCTTATTCAAATGCATCCTCCAAGTTTTACCATGCCACTCAAAAGCTTATTGTGGTGTAAGTACAATCCCACTTCTGATTTGAACAATTAAATAATAAAAACACAGAACCTTTCCAATACACTACGATTCAGCACATTTAATCAACTATAAATCACAAATAGTACGTCAGGAAATAAACACAGACAGCGTTCAAACGACCGTGCCGAAGTATCTCATCACACTGCCACGACCGACAGCGGTCCGTGCTTATCTCTCCCCCAAAAAAATAAATCAATTTTGTTTATATAATCATATTTCTAACACTATATTAATATATGGCTCCGAGTTCTGGACAATGAGACAGTCAGAAATGAAAAAAATTGACGCAACTGAGATGTACTGTTGGCGACGAATGCTCGGAATTTCCTGGACTGCCCGGCGAACCAATGAATCCATAATCCAAGAACTGAACATCACAGAACGCCTCTCAACTTCTATACAGTCACGTATACTTAAATATTTCGGTCACGTTATGCGGAGGGATACTGACTGTATGGAAAAACTCATTATACAGGGCAAGGTTCCAGGAAGAAGACCAAGAGGCCGCTCGCCCTCCCGATGGATAGACCAGCTATCAAAAATCACCCACAAGCCACTGCACACGCTTGTGCGTGAAGCACAAGACAGGGATTTATGGAGACAAACCTCACACATCACCTGACCACTACATTCCTCTTGTAGGAATAAAGACAGAGAGAAAGTAGCTTGAATACCACCCAAAATACACAGATTTATGCAAATGCTTAATATACAGGGTGTCCCAGAAATGAGTGCAGATATTTTAAGAGGTGGTAGATCTGGTCAAAATAAACATATTTTCTCTTTACCATTTTTAAAATAAATTGAAAATAACTGAGTTATTTAACTTTGAAAATTTAAAAATATAATCGCAACATTTTGAGAACCGCCGGCAGGTATTGCCAACTACATCCAATTACCCGGATCAAACCCGGATTTCAGTTAATTCGGCGCACTGTGTTGCCATATGGACAAGAAAGTATATGTTTACAAGTAAGTCATAAAATCACAACACCTGAGGAGTTTGCAGAGATGCATTACATTTTTAAGATTGTGATATTATTACATAAAATAAATTAAAAGTTAAATTTTTAAAAGTTAAATTAAAAAAACTTACCCAACATTAAAAAAGATACTTATGACAGATCGATGTAACTGCGACAGTTCTCTTTTTCGATACACACTTAACTAAAATACACTTCATTGTGCTGCTTTACTTGTACGTGCTATTATAAAAACTGCTAAAATAACAGTCCCCATTTTTAACTTAACACATTATTTTCGTATAGGCTTTATCACAATTTGAACCACTGATTTACAAAACACCTTGAAAAGCACACATTACACATTACTTTGAATATCTTTCTGAATGAATAAATGTTGAGAATTATTGTCTTACCGCCACTTTACGAACTACTTTCAATCTAAAGAAAATACATGTTTCACTCAACAATTTTAAATACGTATTTTGCTTTTTCGCTATTTTTTCGATGTATTTCGACAATTCCGTCAACAGTCCAACCGTCGGCCAAGACAGCCACGCATCACTGGTTGGTAATTGCTCACTGCTTCTTTGTCGCGCCGGCGTGTCGAGCTTGCGTCATGCGAGGTTGCCGTAGTTTCAACAATTTCAAGACACTCGAAGCAATCAAATTCTTATTAAATTTTAAAAATAAAACAGAAAAACATGAAAGGAAACAAACAAAACACAAAAGAATTGATTATTGATAAGGTCACAAAAAAGAAATTTCTAAAATGTTTATCGTAATTCAGAATTCAATATATCGAAAACAGCCCGACGAATAATCAATTCATTTTTGTTTTGTTTGTTTCCTTTCACGTTTCTCTGTTTTATTTTTAAAATTTAATACAAATTTGATTGCTTCGAATCTCTTGAATTTGAAATTGTTGTAACTACGGCAACGTTGCTTAACATCGTCGTCTGACGCAAGCCTGCCACGACGGCGCGGCTCAAAGGACCAGTTCACACGTGGCACTCTTGGCCAACGCGCGACGGTCGGGCTGTCAAAATACATCGAAAAAATAGCGAAAAAACAAAATACGTATTTAAAATTGTTGAGTGAAACATGTCTTAAATTGAAAGTAGTTCGTAAAGTAGCGATAAGAGAGGTATTCAAAGTAATGTGCGCTTTTCAAGGTGTTTTGTAAATCAGTGGTTCAAATAAAACAGAGAAACATGAAAGAAAACAAATATTGAATTCTAAATTACGATAAACATTTTAGGAATTTCTTTTTTGTGACCTGGTTGTGAATAATATAATGAATCATTTTCGTAAACGTCATAAACGTAATGTTTTAGTTAATTTTCGGTGGTTTTTGTTAAGTTTTCATTGAAAGGGTAAGTACTAAAAATAATTAATGTGTTTTTCTATAATAATTATTAATAATGAGCACTGATAAAAATTTAACATTCTTAATTTTTGAGTAGAAAATTTTCTATGAATTTATAAATGTAGAACTATGTAGAATGTGGATAACATAGGAGGTTACAACACTGCAAGGCACTAAAAAGTTTTTTCAAATTTCCCGGAAAATGTCAAGAAAAATTTTAAATTTTCAACATTTTTTTTTCAAAAAAAACCTTATAGGCGTGTTTCTGGGGTTGAACTATACTACCAGTTAAAATATTTGCACTTATTTCTGGGACACCCTGTATGTGCTAGATAAAAACACTTTCATTAAAAGGGTAAGCTCTAACTAAACATTAAAGGTTATAATTGTTTATTGAAACGATTGAAAATATTTCCTAATATGGCGAAAAAAGAAGCTAATTGTTAAGATTTATTTTTCAGTTTACTCCACTGTAAAAGTATTTAAAATATTGCGCGTTTCTCTACAATTAGTAGAGCAATCTACACTAATATGAATAAAATTAATTTTCGTATTTTTTTCTGTAGCAACTTAAAATAATTGAATTTATAGATAAACATGCAGAATGTGGGTATGGTAGGAGGTGGCAACGTTGCATTCTCTCCGACACTCTCTGTGCCCGGTAAACGAATTTCCCGGGGAGTGAACAGTGGCACTCAAAAGTTTTTCAACATTTTCCGGAAAATGTCAAGAAAAATATAAAATTTTCAACATTTTTTTTCATAAAAAAAACCTCATAGGCGTGTTTCTGGGGTTGAACTATACTACCAGTTAAAATATCTGCACTCATTTCTGGGACACCCTGTATATATATATATATATATATATATATATATATATATATATATATATATATATATATATATATATATATATATATATATATATATATACATATGTTTCAAAACAAATGCGAAAAAACTTCAGGGGGTGATTCCTTGTTCAAAAAAAGGTGATAACACACTTTCTGGTAATTTTTCACTTTTCAAAATGAGTGGAAGGGGTTGAAATAAACGTTGGGTCATACTTGTTAACGAAATTTAAGGAAGATCTTAGTAAACAGATGGCAAAAAATTATGTTTTTATAGTTTAGTTTGTTTAGAAAGAGATAGACTAATCAAATTTTATGGAAGCATTACTGTTATGATAACACACTTTCTGGTAATTTTTCACTTTTTTAAAATGAGTGGAAGGGGTTGAAACAAAACCCCTATCATACTTATGTTAACGAAATTTAAAAAGAAAATCTTAGCAAACAGATGCAAAAAAATTAATTTGGATAGTTTAGTTTGTTTAGAAACTTTTTATCTCTTGTATTTTTTGATAAAACTCACCGATTTGAAATTAAAAAATAAAATGTAAAGCATTACATGTCAGGACAAAAAACATTTTCTGATAAAGAATCTAGTGGGCTGCTGTAATTTTTTAGGAAAAAATCTAGTCGGTCGCTATTACTTTTAGGATGTTCCTAATATTATTTTATTTGACATTACTCTACTGCAATACGTTATTATCTAGATGATTATTATTATCGTTATTATCACTAGATTCTTAATCTAAAAATGTTTTTTGTCCTGACATGTAATGCTTTACATTTTATTTTTTAATTTCCAATCGGCGAGTTTTATCAAAAAAACACAAGAGGTAAAAAAGTTTCTAAACAAACTAAACTATCCAAATTAAGGCATTTGCATGTGTTTGATAAGATTTTTCTTTAAATTTCGTTAACAAGAATGATAGGGGTAGTTTATTTCAACCCCTTCCACTCATTTTAAAAAAAGTAAAAAAATTACCTGAAAGTGTGTTTTCATAACAGTAATGCTTCCATAAAATTTCATTAGTCTATCTCTTTTCGTTTTCAAGATAAAAAATAAAAACATTATTTTTCCGCCATCTTTGTACCGCGATATCTCCCTAATGGTTGACTTTTGACCCAACGTTTATAAAGCAAACTACCCTTTATTTTGAACAAGGAATCACCCCCTAAAGTTTTTCGCATTTGTTTTGAAACACCCTGTATATATTGCGGATTTTTCCGACATTCGTCGTCTCCCGCTTCTCAACTTCCACATATTTCTGTCTGTCCAGTCTTGTTCCTGGAGGCCCCTAGAATTCATAGCGTCAACTACGCCCTGCTTCCATCTTCGAGGTGGTCTTCCACGTTTCCGCCTTTCGCTTGTTGTCCATGAATGAATTCTTTTCGGCCATCGGTTATCATCCATTCGTTGGAGGTGTCCGTACCAACTTAGTATTTTGCCGTCAATGGCGTCGAGAATAGTTTCTTTTTCTCCTATAATTTCTCGTATTCTTTGATTTGAGATATTTTCCAGTCTTGAAATGCCCAAAATCCATTTCAAGAGACAGCAACTTATTTTTCTCTATTTTGTTTAGCTCCCACGTTTCAGCGCCATAAGTGGTAATGCTCTCTACAATGGCTTTATAAAGTAGAATTTTTGTTTTTTGGGAAATTTTGTCACTCCACAACAACGAGTTAAGTTGACCGATAACTCTTTTTCCTTGACCAACTTTATTTGCAATATCTTGAGTGCTTTTTTCCATTTGTTGTAAAAGTGACGCCCAAGTATTTAAATGTACAGACATTTTAATTGTGCCGATTCCTACATCCAAATCCTCACGTTCGTCATCACCCACTACCATGTACTCCGTCTTCTTTGTGTTTATTGTTAGGCCCCATTTCGAATATTCCTCATGCAGTTTTCTAAACATATAACTGGAGTCGTCTCTGTCTCCCGCTATCAAGACCTGGTCGTCGGCAAAGAGTAAGGTATATAAAGTGTCTTTTCCTACTGGGATTCCCATTCCACGGCATTTCATCTTCCAACACTTCAGTACTTCCTCCAAATATACTTTAAATAAAGTTGGTGCTAATGAACACCCTTGTCTTAAGCCCTTATTCGCAAGAAATTCTTAAGAAATATTGTTTCCAAGTTTAACTGTGCTACTGCAACCCTCGTATAATTTTCTTGTTGCTTGGACATACCAACTACTGGTACTAAAATTTTGCATTGACACCCACAACTTACTCAGTGGGACTGTATCGTATGCCTTCTGTAGATCAATAAATGTCAAGTGGACCGTCCTTCCCCTTTCTAGCGTTTTTTCGATTAGATGCTTAAGAGTGAAAATGCCATCAGTACATGAGCGTCCCGGTCTAAAACCATTTTGCTCTTCCGATTCCGTTATTTGTGCTTCTATCTTATGTTTTAGTACTTTGCCATAGAGTCGAGCAACAGTACAAATGACACTAATTCCTCTATATTTTTCACAGTCGCGTCGGCTCCCTTTCTTAAATATGGACGTAATAATCGCTTTTTTCCATTCTTTGGGCGGGTCTTCTCCATTTAAACATCTACTAAAAATATCTGCCAGAATTTCCAAAACTGCTGAGGGGACAGCCTTTAAAAGTTCTACTGAAACATTTCCCAAACCTGGGGCTGTGCCATTTTTCATTTGTTGGAGGGCTTTATTTACATCTGGAGAGCTTATTAGTGTTGGATGCTCAGATTCGGTTGGATTAACAGGATGACTTTCATGATCTTGTATGAATTCGGTTCTATTTTCCGTCAACAGATTTTGATAATAAGTCTTCCAATCCTCGATCGGAATAATATTCATCCCTGCAGTATCATTATGTTGCCTTCGCATTCCGTTGATAATTTTCCATTCTTTATTTGCTTTTGTGTTTCCAGCTTCTAAGTTGACTTCTTGGCATCTTTCTTCCCAGTACTAATTTGTTAATTATTTATAGTGATTTATTTACAGTAATTTTGTTAAATCATACGAATATTCTCATTGATTATTGGCTTGAAATAAATATGACAGTCTTCCAATGAAAATGCGAGTTGTAATAATAATTCTAGTTCTGAACTAGCCAATGGGCTCGATGCTTTACCTAGACCGTTATTCAGAAGCTACAAACCTATCAATGAAAATATGCGTGAAAATTTACTTCCTAGCACACAACCGGAGGATATTGGTACAGAGGTAGAGTATCAAGTTTATTGTAATGATTTTCTTAACTTTAAATCAAATGTTTTTTGACCTTTGCGCGATCGTGCTCATGCGTCACGGCCATGAATTTTTAATCCCAGCGCGCGTAAAGAAGTTTCCCGTCAGTAATATTGATATTATTAGTAGTCACAGAAAAATAGAATGAAGCTCTAAACTATTGAAGAGAAAAATATGAAAAATATGATCATATTAAGAAAACGACATTTCTTACCTTAACTTCATATGGTTCTGTTACACCCAGTTGATCAACTTTATACCAGTTTTTAGGGGAATCAGTAACCTCCGCATTACAGAATCTACACCGTAGAAATAGAGTCTGCCCTTCCAGAGCGTCTACAATCGCATAGAAATCTTCTTTCTTCGAACTGATTAATCTGTCTTTTTCCCGACATTCTTTCGTTATAAGCGGCACATAGTCTTCTACACAAATACTAATTGAAAATATTAAGTTGTTTAAGAGAAGTTTTAGTAGGAACTTCATTGTGACAGATAGAAACTGTCAAATATTGTATGATCTGTCTAGTGGACACACGATATTGTTCCGTATATAGACTGGGTGTATTGTTTTTATTTAAAAAAGACTATATTTTTATGATTTCATTACAAATGATGTATTGTTTTTACTTTAATTATTCATAATTTTTAATTGTAATGACTTTTTTTGACCCAGAACACAAACCAGCGAAGAAGAATTAGCGTTCCTAATTAAATATATAATATAATATTATAATATTATTTTAATAATATTATTTTAAATTTATAATTTAAAATAATATTTAATTTTTTTTTTAATATTTATTTTTTATTTTATTTTTTTTATTTATTTTTTTTTATTTTTTAATATTATTTTAATATATATTATAATATTATTTTAAATTGCGACAACAAAAATGGGAGATTTTTTCGTTTTCCAAATCCCCGAAAAGATTCGAATTGCCTTTTAGGTTTTTTTTAGTTTATAGGTATGTAAAATACATAATTTATAATATCATCAATAATTGTTTTATTTTTATAAACCTTCGATCGGGTATTGATATAAACATTTTTTATTGTGACAATAGGTATATTAAAATTAAATTATATGTAATATATAAACTTTTTATGTTTTTTTTTATTCTTTTCTTTGACCTCTCAATATATATTTTATTTAATTTTTTCTTGGCTTTAGGTCAGATTACAGTTGAGGGTTGGAACCTTTGGTGTTACACAGCAAAATAAAAACACTAAATCACCACAATACACCAAAACACTTTTACTTTTACACTGGACGCGCGTTTCGCTAACCATGTTAGCATTATCAGCAGATGATTATAAACTCCAGGGCAGATGATTATAAACTCCTGTCTCCATGATTATAAACTCCAGGGACTTTAGGTCAGGTAAAAATGAGAAAAACGGGTTTTTATATTAAAAATTTCATTGACGTTTCGACCTGGTAGGGTCTTTATCAAAATTTATTACTTGAACGTAGATTTCGGCCGTTTTGTTTTAGTTTTTATTTTAATTTTTATTGTTTTCCCTTTACAATTTTATCATTTTCATTCTGAAATCTTATCGAAGAAAATAATCCAATATCCAACATTGGTATCCACACACATAACATAAACATATCGATACAGTCGTCACAATTTTTGTAAAGAGACATACACATTGAATGGATTTTACAGTGTTGTAAAATCCATTCAATGTAAAATTGTTGTAAAATAAACTTTTTATTATAATTTTTAATATTATAATGTAATTTTAATATACCTATTTCATTACAATTAAAAAAATGTTTCGGTAATATTCAAAAAAAAATATAGGGATCGATATTTCATGAAGTTAGTGCGCGAACAAATTCAAGTGGAGTGCTTCTTTTACTTTCATTTTATGACATATAAGTCAAAATTCTAAAAGGGGATGTTTTGTGTTCCCGAGATAAAGGACCTCGACAGACTTTTTTAATAGATAACTTTCGGCCTAGCATTTTCTGCTTACTTTATTTTGTATGTTGTATTATTTTATACTTATTTGCCTGGCATATTAACTTACAATTGACTGTAGTTACTGACTATGACTATCCATTCTACTCAATACTATTGCAATCCAATACCCAATCCGTTTCAACTCGTAAGTTTTATTTTTCACCAAGGTGGCTTGTAAATGGCCCAATCTTCCAATCGCTATACCCAGTTTTTTCCACATCCTTTTATATCTTTCCATGTATAGTTCCATTAAAAGATTCCGTTCAGTATGCCAGTTGGGTGCCGGCAAAACTCGCATCCCAGGGCCTGTTAGTTGTTCTATAAAAGTAGATCCTGCCTGGACGTGCCTAGAGCCTTTTCCAGTTCTTTTTTATGGTAAACACGTGCAAAAATATCGATAATTTAAAAAAAAATCGATACCGTATCAATGTTAAAATAATGAAATGTTGGGAAGACGCTTGTCTTACTAATGATCATGCATGAACTTATTTTAGATATACTCTGTTTTTTTTCTCAGGTAAGATTTCGACAGACGATGACAGAAGAAAAGCAGATGACGTCCCATACCAATCTATTTATTTTACTAAAAAAAGTTTCTAATAATTTTTAAGTTATCTATGGATGGGTTTAAATATAAATCCGTCATACGTCGTGTCTCGTTGTTTTTAACCAGTTTTATTGGTTTATTTAAAAAATGACAGAACGTATTTTAGTTTTATTGGTTTGACGGAACGATGAACGACAAACGGACGCCGATGCGTATGAACTCGCCTTTAGATTTTTGTCATTTTTGACGCTTGTCAAAGTCTTGCCAAATTATAGGTTATAATTTTGTGTCAACTTTTGTTAAATATCCTGCGTTTTGGAAGATGATGCATTTTGATTCGTATTATTACGTGTGTTTTGTGTCTTTTGAAGTCAAGTGGAGGAAAAATCGAGTGAAAATTATTTCTGACTTTTATTCCTGATAGACATCAAAGAACTTCTTACACTGATATTCGGTAAGTTATTGATGGATCGATATACAGATATGTTTAATATTCAATAATCAGTTTCATATAAAATTTAAGGGTGAGATTGTTAATCTGGAAATAAAATACAACAAAGTCCAACAGAGTGCTCGATGAATGAGCGTGCTAATAAACCAACTGCTTGGAGGGAAAAGAGGAGATGGCTACATTGTGAGGCGGACGTTTAACCTTTGTGCATACGTGTTAAACTATAATGTGTAAACGTAGCATATTTACATCGGGGGAATTGTGTCACCCTGTGTCTACATCTAATAATGTAAACACATCGTAAATGTGATTTGATGTGCTGTATGGGTATATATAATATACTATCCCTAAAATATTTGCAGTTTTAAATTTAAGACTAACCCGGCATGATATCCTTTAATTAAAATTGTATAATAATTTTATACAAAGTATTTAACAGCCACTTTTTAATAACACCATTTCATCTAAGTACACAGCTAGGCTAAAGATTGGCTTATTTGGGCCTTGTAATTAGTTTAATGGTTACAAAGTAATGTATACAATCCTGGATATCGTATAATAGTAAAGCCTGCCGGCCTAAAGCGGCTACCAGATCCTTCTTTATGGTGCAATAAGCTTAATATGCAATTTCACAATTTGCGTATTCGCGTAAATAACAGCAGAATAGATAGGCACTGTACGATCGGCGCACAGAGGTGCATTTTATTTAAAAACATGGCCAAAAAAATTGTGAGTCTATTTTTCTCATTAATATTATCATATCAAACTTATTTAGAGGCAGGTTTTGATAACACCATCTCGCGTAGATCAAAAAAGTAGAACCATAAAAAAGAAAAATAGTAGAGCCATAAAAAAGAAAAATAAAATTGCTAATATTTTTTTTTTCAAACGTCACAAAAGTATTAATTTTTGCGACGTGACTGACAATATAAAAAAGTAATTTTAACGCCTAGGCAAAGAGTAGATAAGACAAGAGACGACAGTGAACAAAGAAGTCGAATTTCGCGAGAGAGACGCAGATATATTAAAATTTAAAGGTCCCATCAAGTCCCATTTTGTCTATTGCCAAGTATATTTCTTTGAAAAATAAACAAGATTTTCTGAAAATAAATTAATATTATAAGGATATAAGTAACGTATGTTAATACTGAAATGTAAATTTTTAGTTTAGGTTGGTTTAGGTTCTTTTTTCGCAATGTACTGACAACGGCGTATTTTATCTAATCTTAACAAGAATCTAACCTACGATTTTAGGACGCTAATCAGCTGCGCTAATCAGGCTTAAACATAAACAAATCTGATTAGTTGTTTTCTTGCATTTTTGCCTTTTTAAAGTGTGTTTTCAGAGTTTTTCGATATATTATCGTTTTGAGAATTTTTAAGGTTTAATTTTAGTATCGTTTTTGTTGCGTACTAATTTGTAAATATTGTTAAATATGAATACTGAACAGGACACGAGTAGCAGGAAAAGACGAGATGGTGGCAATGTGTGTGCTTATGAAGACTGCAAAAATAGGTCTTATTCTTCGACAAACATAATATTTCACTCTTTTCCAAAGGATCCTGAAAAGTATTTTTATAGAAATATACTATATAATTATGTTATTAAACTAAATAGATCGAAGACATGGTTAGAAGCTTGTAATACATTTAAAAAAAAATTGAGCAACTCTATTTTTTTGTACATAAACTCCACACTGTGATTTTACACACGCTTGTAATACATTTAAAAAAAAATTGAGCAACTCTATTTTTTTGTACATAAACTCCACACTGTGATTTTACACTTGTTCAAAAGTCCATATGTAAAAAAATACACGTAAATAAAACATTTCTTACAAATCGACTTGGTCACTTTATCTTGTTTACCAACGATATACAAAATATTGCTTTTATTACCTTTATTCCCCGACAAATATGTTTCTAATTATAATTTATTTTATATAATATTTAGAAAACTAATTTTTTTTTCGTTTCTATTTATTTCTTTACCCATACAGTAACTATTTATAATCTATACAGGCAAGTTTTAATAATAGTCTATTTCAAATTTCCCGCGAAAAAATTACGAAAATTTAAAGGGACAAGCGAGACGAGGTCACTCTCCCCACCACTCAAACATGAAAGGTACCGCGCGAACTGTCGTCTCTTGTCTTATCTACTCTTTGGCCTAGGCATAAAAGTAAACCACTTCTACGCATGTCTACGCCAAAGCGCAAAAGTCTTTGAATAAGAAGACTAAGGAAGGAGCATATCAAAAATCTTAGGTACACCGCATGGTACAAAGAATACAAGGTATGATATTGCGCAGGTTGGTCGCTACGTCACAGGTGATAACAGGCGCTATTGGTCAGCACGCTCCTCGCGCCAGTTCAAATCGTCAAGATATTGTTATAAACCTGTTTTTTTTGTTTATATACCGTCATTGAATTATCGCTAAGCAAGTTACTGTGGAGCAGTGCATAAGGAGTAGGGCTAGGAAGCGAGAGACCGGAGTTCGAATCTCGGCCGGAACATCA